AGTCTCTGCCTGATTCATCTGTGTGTCCCTCATACCACTAGAGGGTGTGACTAGTTGATTTCTGTTTGATGACTGACATCTCCCTGGAACAGGAAGGTGTAAACCGGAGAACAGAAGGGCAAGGGATACGATGTTCCAGATCTAGGGGACTTCTGCTGTGTTCCTTCGTCACTGTGCTGAGGCCTCACCTGTCCTGCTCATTCTTGGGCTGACAGCTGGAACTGTGAGCCCTGGGAGATGAACCAGAGTCTGTCCTCCTACCTCTGTACAAAATGCTTAGTTATTCATTTCTCAGCAAAGCATCTCCCACAGTAAGTCAGGGCTGCAGTAAGGTGTCATTTCCCAAAGACTCAAGTGAGAAAACAAGGACACAACTAATAAAGAGTAATGACTTAGCTCCATTGCAAGAAACTGGTGACTCCTGACATTGTTGCAGTTGCCTATGTGTGCACGCTTGTGTGTGTGTACATGTGTGCATGTGCTGCATGAATGTGTGCATGTGTACATGTGTGTGAATGCCTGTGTGTGTGCATGTGTGTGTGGGTATGTGTGTGTCACACACACACATGTATGGTGATCCTCACTTTTAGTCATGGCCCAAAGTTTGAAATCATATTTATCTTTGTACAACTTCCACTTGTATCGAAGTGAAGCAGAGCTGAGGCTTGCTTCAGGATTTCCTTGCGTACACTCACAATGTGAAGGTGTTCAATGACTTCATTTGGAACAGGCAAATTGTGCCTTATTTCACCTTTAGAATGTGCATGTGTGAAATATTCTTTTCTCCCCTATGGTTCTGAAAACTTGAGCTGTAATACATCAGATGGATATGTGTTTATTGTAAAATGTTTGAAAAGTTTATGGAGAAACAGGAAAAATTTTTGAGGAAGCAGAAAAAAACATTCAATTATCTCTGATTTCACTAACCAGAACTAACATTTCCCAGGCTTTTTCCAGACAGTTTTCTGTACCTAGTTGGGTTCATACTTTATATGTAAATTTCCCTCTATGTTTTTAAAAAATATTTTTGTCATAAGCATTTATCCACATCTTTGAAGGTACTGTTAATGGCTGCTCAATATTTCCTCAAATGAAAGTAATAACTTCCTGCACCTTTCTCTTACTTTGCAAGTTTAAATAATTTTTGCTTTTTCTATGTTCAGATGTACGTTCCCACTTTTTCATTGTGTCATCTAGAGTCCCAGAATTTTAATTACTAATTCAAATATATAAACAGTTAAAGGCATCCGGATCCCATTGCCTACTGTCCTTGCTAAGGGTGGTGCCCACTTAAGCTGCGACTGAGTGTGGTTGCCTGGGAGGCCTCTCAGCCCAAGACCTGCAGCTTTGTGAGAATAATCTTCCTGATGTGTTTGCTCGCTTTCTATCTCCTTTGGTTTCCACACACTCATTGCTCATGTATGTATCAACAGGGGCTTATTGTGTAATTGGTGCTGGAAGAAACTGCTTCTTTCTTGTTGTAAAAGGCAACCCAAAGCATCCTCATGGCTGCACTTGCGTATTCAGACAGGCAGGAGATGCTAGAGGAGAGGCTGACCAGTGTGTAGCTTCGCGAGCCACCAGCTGTGCATCACTGGGCAAGCCTTCCTGTTCCTCCTTTTCTTATTGGGAAGGTAGAGGTGATAATTGTACCTGACATGTTGGTGGTCACAGGACTGTGTGAATTAATACAACCAGATACCCTGGACAGTGCCTGGAACACAGTGAGTGGAATGCTGGCTGTGATATGACCTGATTATCCAGCTGCTACTCATCCTCTTCCTACAGAGGGATGGTTATTGCTTTGCAAGGTTCTTGGAGGACGCCTGCCTGCATTAATTTTCTCAGCCTGCAACAACAAAGTACCACAGACTGGGTGGCTCAAACAACAGGAATGTATTGTCTCACAATCCTGGAGGCCAGAAGTCTGAGATCAAGGTGTAGGCCTGAGTATGTGGGTATATGTATGGGCTGGTTCTTCCCAAGGCCACTCTCCTTGGCTTGCAGATGGCATCATCTCCTTGTGTCGTTCCTGTGTATCTGTGTCCAAATTTTCTTTCATGAGGACAGCACTCACATTGGATTAGTCCTCGCCCTTGTGACTTCATTTTGCCTTAATTACCTCTTTGAAGACCGTGTCTCCAAATACAGTCACATTTTGAAGTACAGGGGGTTAGAACTTCAACCTGTGAAACCTGGGGAGACACAACTCAGCCCACAAACAACAGTGCTACTCCTGACACCAGCTCAACAACTTCTCTTCACTTTATTTATTTATTTTTTTGTAACTTTTAAGTGCAGGGGTACATGTGCAGGTTTGTTACATAGGTAAATGGTGTCATGGGGGTTTGTTTTACAGATCATTTTGTCACCCACGTATTAAGCCTAGTACCCATCAGTTATTTTTTCTCATCCTCTACCTTCTCTCACCCTTCACCCTCCAAAAGGCCCCAGGGCATGTTGTTCCCCCTCATGTGTTCTCATCATTGAGCTCCCACTTATAAGTGAGAACATGCAGTATTTGGTTTTCTGTTCCTTTGCTAAGGATGTTAGCTTGCTAAGGATAATGGCCTCCAGCTTCATTCATGTCCCTGCAAAGGACATGATCTCATTCCTATTTATGGCTGCATAGTAGTCCGTGGTGTATATGTACCACATTTTCTTTATCCAGTCTATCATCGATGGGCATTTAGGTTGATTCCATGTCTTTGCTATTACGAATAGTGCCACAAAGAACATGCGTGTGCGTGTGTCTTTATAATAAAATGATATATATTCCTTTGGGTATATACTTAGTAATAGGATTGCTGGGTCAAATGGTATTTCTATCTTTAGGTCTTTGAGGAACCACCACCTGTCTTCCACAATAGTTGAACTAATTTACACTCCCACCAACAGTGTATAAGCATTCCTTTTTATTCACAACCTCAGCAGCGTCTGTTAATTTTTGACCTTTTAATAGCAGCCTTTCTGACTGGTGTGTGATGGTATCTCATAGTGGTTTTGATTTGCATTTCTCTAATGATCATTGATGTTGAGGTTTTTCCATATGATTGTTGGCCCTATGTATGTCTTCTTTTAAGAAGTGTCTCTTTATGTCCTTTGCCCACTTTCTAATGGAGTGTTTGTTTTTTGCTTAATTTATCTAAGTTCCTTATAGATGTTGGATATTAGACCTTTGTCAGATGCATAGTTAAGCATTCCTATACAGCAACAACAGTCAAGCCCGGAGTTAAATCAATAACAAACTTCCATCCACAAGTACCATACACACACAAAATGCCTAGGAATACAGCTAACAAGGGAGGTGAAAGGTCTCTACAAGGAGAACTACAAACCACTGCTCAAAGAAATCAGAGACGACAAGAACAAATGGAAAAACATTTCATGCTCATGGATGGGAAGAATTAATATCATTAAAATAACCATACTGCCAAAAGCAGTTTGTAGATTCAATGCTATTCTCGTTAAACTACCATTGATATTCTTCAGAGAACTAGAAAAAAATGTTTTAAAATTCACATGGAACCAAAAATGAGCCTGAATAGCCAAGACAATCCTGAGTGAAAAGAACAAAGCTGGAGACATCACACTACCTGACTTCAAACTATACTAGAGGGCTACAGTAACCATAACAGCATGGTTCTGGTACAAGAACAGACACACAGACTAACAGAACAGAATAGAGAACCCAGAAATAAGAACACACACCTACAACTACGTGATCTTCAACAAACCTAAAAAAACAAGCAATGGGGAAAGGATTTTCTATTTAATAAATGGTGTGAGGATAGCTGGCTAGATATATGCAGAAAATTGAAACTGAACACCTTCCTTATTTCCATATACAAAAATTAATTCAAGACGGATTAAAGATTTAAATGTAAAACTCAAAACTATAAAAACCCTGGAAGACAACCTAGTCAATACCATGTAAAACTCAAAACTATAAAAACACTGGAAGACAACCTAGTCAACACCGTTCAGGGTATAGTCACAGACAAAGATTTCATGACAAAGATGCCAAAAGCAATTGCAAGAAAAGCAAAAATTGACAAATGAGATCTAACTAAACTGAAGAGCTTTTGCACAGCAAAGGAAACTATTGACAGAGTAAACAGACATTTCTCCCATTCTATAGAATGGGAGAAAAATTTTGCAAACCTTCCCTTTACTTTCAAAAGGTAATGAATACATGTGCTCTCCTTTGAGTGCCTGAACATCTCTTTCTATTTTTTGATTAGAAAGTGCAAGGGCTTGCATATCTCTCTTCTGCTTGATGATCAAAGTGCTATAATAGTCTTTCTATAGGCCTTTTTAATTCTAATCAGTTGTAGAATTTAGGCCTTTAGGTAAGTTGCATTCATCAAACTTAAACTAGAATGGATGTGTTAAAAGAAAATTGGAAAGTGTTAATAATGAAATCCCTTCTCATTTCAGCATGTAATGAGGGCAAAGTGAATGTTAAATGGGCTGAAATGAATTTGGAGAATACTTTTGAAGAATGATAATATGTTTCATATGGAAATGTTAGCATTATGAATTATTCTTCTTTGTGGACGTTTCAATTGATTAATCCCCTCATGCACTTAACTCATGCTCTTCCCCTTGTTTAGGAATCCTTGCAAACATCAAAGGTAGGCAAAAGAAGAACAATGACAAAATAGAAGGGCAGTGCGAGACAAGGTGGCACTTTACTCTGGGAATATTCAGCAATTATCCAAAAAGCGTTTATTGAACCCCTACTCTAAAGATGTCTTGGGGGAAGTGGATGAGAGGGGCTTTTAACACATGGCCGTGGATCAGACTGAGAAGGGAGAGTTAGGGCTCCACTGCAAAGCTAATAGCTGTGCCTTGGGATATTACTTTTTTGTATATGGGACATATATTAAAAATACTAACATGGAATGACATTTTATATTAATTACTTAAGATATTCTAATACAGTACCTTCATCTAAATAAAAAAATTAAACTAATTTTAATTGTCTCCTCTTTCAGGAACATTTGGTCTACGGAAACCATGGTATTTCCCCTTTACTGCCTCATATTGGAAGAGTGTGGGTGTCTTGGTGGAAAAAAGGCAATATTCTCTAAGTTCCAGTGTGTTCTTCTTCCATGAGAACTTTGACAGTAAAGGTTTGTAAGGAGTAGAATTATTAGATGCATGTATTTTTCCTCTGATCCATTTTGTTTTTGATTTTTATTGTTTTTCTGGTCCAGCCTTTGCAAGTGTGTGCTGATTCCTAGAGAGACTTACATTTAGGCTGTCTTGGGCTGGGAAACAGCTACAAGGCACAGATGTGAGGCAGTATGCCCTGACAGTGTTTGTTCTGTGAAATCCAGGAACCCCAGGGAGTTCCCATTATTTATTATTTAGCGTCCTTCCCTGTATGCATTATGTGCATTTGTGTGTATATTACAATTTAGTAAAATTGAAGTGTTAGTCCCAAAATGAATATGTGTAGGAAATAAAAGCAAAGACGGGTAGCTACCCTATGTAAAGTACTTTAAAATTTTTAAGTGTTCTCACCCATGCTGGTGTATTCAGTGTTCCTGTGTGAGGGAGAATACCGCTGTCCCTTACAAATAGGGATTGTGGTTCTCAGGAGATAGGGGCAGGACTGTGCCTGTGCCTCTGCACTCCAGAGTCATGGCCTATTCCTGCAGGTGCAGGTGCATGTACAGGGCACCTCTGCCAAAGGATGAATTCATAGGCCATCTCCATGGAAACAGAGATGCATCACTCAGAGATAAACAAGCTCCCATCATGGTGGGTTTAGATTGCAAGTCAACATTGTACTCTAAACAATCTAAATATTTTTCTGAATTATGAATCTTTTAGAAAATGTGGAACACATCGACAAGCACCTATCCATTCTCACCTCCTCAGGAGACTATTTCTCATGAATATTTTATGTGTAACTAATCTGCCTGTTGTTTTTTCTCTACTTAAACCAAAATACATGTGTGTGTTTTTATTTTTATTTTTTTTTTTACAAAATGGTCATCGTAAGGGTTCAAAACTTTGTAATCAGTGATATCACTTAGTGTTTGCCATTATGTAGTCTGCTTCTTGTTCTTGCTAAAGAAAGATTTTTGAGTTGATTTGTGTGCTTCACAGAGCTGGAATTCAATTTCAAAGCAGAACACTGAATTAATAAATATGAGCATGATCTTCAGGGCTTTTGAAGTCTTTTCACAATGAATTTTCATCTCTCTCACAGGGTCATCACAGCAAAACAGGGAAGGAGAGCTTGAAGGAAGTCCCCCGGGAGTCACCTTGGTGTCTGTGACCAAGGAATATGAGGGCCACAAGGCTGCAGTCCAAGACCTCAGCCTCACCTTCTACAGGGACCAAATCACCGCCCTGCTGGGGACAAATGGTGCCGGGAAAACCACTATCATGTGGGTCCCATATTACCCTTATCAAACACTGGGCATTTGATTCTTAAAGTTTCAGTTTACCTGTGAGACAGAAAGTTTGATTTCTTTTCCTTTTTTAAGAATTTTGAGTCTCAGTACAGAGTTTAGAGACACAGGTGAAAGGCAGAGCCCCTCATGAGTGCCCGTGTGAGAAAGGCCCTGTGTCCTCAACCGCACAGGTGCACTGTAGGCCTGGGGCCCTGTCAAAGGGGTGAGGTGGAGAGCTTTTCAAAAGCCTTAATTCTTGTATTTTCTACAAATAATTTACCATGTTGTACTTTAGTCTTTGCAAATCCTTTGGCACTTTCAGCATTTGTCCCATTAAGTATCATCTTGCTTGCATATCTGTAGGAAGAGGAATATCACAGTGGTATTTGCAATTTTTTTCAACACCTGATTATTTTTCTTTTCCATATTCTGGTTTTTGTGTGGTTCTTTTCTCGTTAAAGGTGGATGTTTGGTTTAGGATCCAATGGCTTTAGATTTGATTAAAGAATCAAATCATGTCCTCCCAGAGAAACAAGGAATTCAAACACTCACAGCCTTGGGCTGGCTGTGGAAGTGAAGGTTTAAGGTTCAACTGCTAAAATTATGAAATATCTCTTTTGAACAAATCACTTTCTCTTTTGTTCTTTTTCTCACTAAATATGTAGCATGTGATTAGTTAAAACAATGAGAAGGGCTTTGCCTCAAACTTAATAAGAAAGGTAGAACACATGAAACTTCAGAAATCTCATATTGAAAAAATAGAAAGAAAGAAAATGGACAGTTTTTATTTGTTCCTGGGATACAGAAATGGACTTGGAAATGAGTCTGAGTGTTTTTTTAGTGTTTGAAAATTGGGAAACCACAAGTTACACAAATTATGACTCAGCCAGACAGCTCCTCTCACCCTGCTTTTACTAAGACACATTTCTTACAAGGAAAACCGGAGCTGCTTGTTTAGTAGAATGATGAGAATTACATTTGGAGTTTCTCGATGATTTCAGGTTCAATGACTGTGTTGCTTTTAGTGTACATTTGTAGTATGTTTTGAGTCATCCTAAGTGGCTGCCTCCACCTGGCAATTCTTAGATGAAAGGCTGAGAGATCAGTCAAAGATGGGATCTTCACTATTTAAAACAACCATCTTTGAGACTTCCAGGGAATGTGTATAAACTATTTTATAGTCTCCCCCAGATAGGTTTGAAAATAATATAGCAAAGAGTTTTAAGTTCATTGAGGTTTAATTTTGCACAGTAAACAGTATATGTTGATGTGTACAGTTTGATGAGTTTTGACACATTTGGTTAGTGCTGGAATAAGCACCACAAATGCAGTACCTTTCTATGCTGCTCCAAGGTTTCCTGTGCTCTCCTTTGACCCCGGCCTTCATGTGACCACTAATCTGCTCTTTGTCACTAAAAGCTGGGTTACTTATTCTAGAATTTCTTGTAAATGGGATCATGTCTGGCTTCTTGTACTCAGCGGACTGTTTTGGGGACCCAGGCATGGTGGTGGTGGGCCAGCAGCCTGCTCCTTGGGACAACTGAGTGGTATCCACTGTATGGAGGCAATTCAGTTTCTTTATGTTTTCATCTATGGGTTGCAATTGAGGTTGTTTCTCTTTTCAGTGATTGTGAACACAGCTGCTGTGAACATTTGTGCATACAGCTTTGTGTCAGCACACATTTAATTTCTCATGTGTGAATACTAAGGAGCGGATTTGCAAGGTCCTGTGGTAGGGGCATGTTTAACTTTTCAGAAATAAGGAACCAATTTAAAACTTAAATAATAAACTTCCTGAAGCAAGGAAGCAGAACTAGGCAATTCTGAGGCTTCTGTTGGTAAAGTTAGTTGTGTGAGCTTGTGGTGGCCGGCTGCTTGAGTTCTTGTGGTTTTAACACACACAGACTATCCTGGGAGCAGCGGAAGGAAGACTGGCTCCACGGTTGGGGCCTAGCTTTGCATCTCTGTTTTGATTATATTTAATGATGAGGATTTAGGTATATATGTCATTTCTCTAGCATGTTTCCTCATCTGTAGAAAGCTGAATGTTATCGTCTTAAAGTCCCATACAACTATGATGCTCTATGATCTCGATTCAGACTTACAATGGTTCAACTTAATGATATTTTGATGTCATGATGGAGTGAAAGTAATACACAGTAGGTAGAAACTATAGTCTGAGGACTCATACAGCCATTCTGCTTTTTACTTTCAGTACAATATTCAATAAATTGCAAGGGATATTCAACACCTTATTATAAAATATGCTTTGTGATAGTTGATTTTGCCCAGCTGTAGGCTAATGTAAATGTTTTGGGCACATTTAAGGTAGGCTAGACAGACTAAGCTGTGATGTTAGGTAGATTACATGTAAATACATTTTGACTTACAATATTTTCAACTTTGGATGGATTTATTGGGACATCACCCAATTAGAAGTCAAGGAGCATTTGTATTTCATGTGGTAGCATAAACATTATGTTAAACTCACCTTTTCAAGATCAACCAGCCAATGTGCCCTCAAGCTCCTCACACCTTTTAACTGATTGTGTAAAAACCAGGACAGCGAGGGTGAGTGCTCTTGGCAGGATGCATGCGCCATCCTGGAGCTGACTGGATTGCTGACGCTCACAGTACCAGCAATACATATTCTCCATGCTGTCTTATTTTCTCTGGCAGATCTGTGTTGACGGGGCTCTACCCTCCCACTTCTGGAAACATCATCATCAATGGCAAGAACCTACAGACAGACCTGTCAAGGGTCAGAATGGAGCTGGGTGTGTGTCTGCAGCAGGACATCCTGTTGGACAACCTCACCGTCCGGGAACATCTGCTGCTCTTTGCTTCCATAAAGTCTCCACAGTTGACCAAGAAGGAGCTGCATCAGCAAGTCAATCAGTTAGTAAACAGTTGTCTCTGTTCCTCCTGCCTCTGCCCATTGTGTAAGGAAGTGAAGACACTAGAAAGAGACACTTAAAAAATCATCTGTGTCTACATTTATAAGAGGAAATAATTAGCAAATGGTTGTTAACTATGGAATTATGACACAACCACCAACACTGAGAATGTCAGAAAAGGCTTCTGTGGGAAGGCATTGAATTTGATTTGATTTGTCTTCGATGTGGGGAAGAGATGAGCACATGTAAGCACAGAGGCTGTTGATGGAAGCTTTGTGTATCTAGAGCAAATGGTCCCTAGGGGTGTCCTGAAATGAAAAGAATTAAAAGGCAACAGGAGAACTGGTTGTCAAGAAACTGATTAGTCTGCCTTCTCTCTCTTTGATCCCTAGGTCTTCCTCAACTCCTTCCTTCCCTCCTGTCACACACACACACACACACACACACACAAAGATTAAGAAAAAAAGAGCCTTGTTAGTCATGCTAAGGAGTTTGAACTTCATTGAGCAAGTAGGTGTTCATGAGTGGGGGATTGTGATTAGCCTGAGATCTGGAAGCTCACTCCTACCAGATCGTAGCAGGTACCATGGGAGAGACTGAATACAGAGTGGCCAATGTAGGCAAGAGGTGGTGACAGCCTGATTTATGATCATGCCACTGTGGTGCATGGGCCAGGAAGGCCTGTATTTGAAGACTATTCAAATTTAGAAGAATCAGGTCATGCTGACTAAGTGGTTGCACAAGGCAGGGAGCAGAGAAGTACTGGTAGGGCCACGAAGAATGGGTAGGATATTGGTGGGTCCGCATGGAGAGCTGAACCCTATATGAATGTGGAATAGCACAGGGAAGATTTAGAGTTGAGAATATGTGGGGAGAGGTGGAAATACATGGGAATAGGTGGAAAGGAAGTAGGGTATCCAGGATGGGAAGCAAGGCAAAAGCAAGGCAATGTGCTCTGTCTTGTTGGACACTGATAGAAGTTTAGACCAGAGGTAAAAGGGAGAGACAGTAGGTTCCTGATTAGAGAACAAAGTGGTGTTTGAGGGTGATGACCATGGATCACAGTATGGATTGGAGGAGGAAGTGGAGCAATGAAAGTCAAGGAGAGTAGCTGGAGGTGGAAACGTTAATCCAGTGCTAGAGTCATCGATTCAGCAAACAGTGGTAGTTAAGTGTGCAGGCCATCTGTCCTGCGGTGGGCTCTGCCCCATAAGGAGTTTGAACTTCATTGAGCAAGTAGGTGTTCATGAGTGGGGGATTGTGATTAGCCTGAGATCTGGAAGCTCACTCCTACCCCTCCCACTTCTGGAAACATCATCATCAATGGCAAGAACCTACAGACAGACCTGTCAAGGGTCAGAATGGAGCTGGGTGTGTGTCTGCAGCAGG